ACTGTCGCCGACATGCCCGCTATACGGAAACGGCTAGCTGACGTGAGGAATCTTAGTTGCACCGCTGGTGGTGCGCCGTTACGTAAGCTTTATTTGCACCACCGGCGGTGCACCTATTGGCCCCCCCTTTGTGGCTATATAAAAGAGGAGAAATCCCCATTCCAAGATACTACTGCAGTGCTAGGAGTACAAGCAAATCTAGAGCCAAAAGTGGAATTCGGCCAAAATGGATAATTGTTAGATGAGTTATTCAAATGATACTTATGTTAATATTCAATTCGCACTGTATTAGCCACAAGTCCTACATCCTAGTCCGTGCGGAGACAGATTCTAAACTAATAAAGTCGGACATTTATTTCGGTTTTCACTGTACCGAGGGATTCTAGGGAACGCTGTATCACAGGTTAGCCGCATTACACACTGGTGGACAAAATTGGTGAGTAATGAGCTTAACAGCTACGTAATTGTACGCATGAGTTTCATTCTTTAAGCATGATTTGCTACAAGGCTTCTTTTTTACGTCCACTAGGGCTATTCTACTGGAAGCATGAGGGACATAGCTGTGAGAGCGCTCACTCAACGGCCGTCAATGTTACAAAAGAGCCGGGCGGTACGTGGTTTATTTTTTAGCGCGATAGAGACCACTATAAACCCCCTGTTTCGGGTCGTGATGGACGCCTTTTGATCTTTTCCGTCGTGAAGTTACAAAAGTGTCGCACTCTCAACTTGTTAACAAAGGGAAAGCTAATCTCGCACTCCAACGAGATATAGGTACTCTATAATCCTATTTCACAAGACATTTCCCAGAGTTTTCATGCAGTTGAATAACAAATATTTTATCAAGGCATTTCTAAACTGATATATGCTATGTTCTAACGCTACAAATAAATCTAGCCAACATGGATACGCCACAGCTCGCGGTCACAATCCCCTCTAAACGCAGTGCGAATATGCAGCATCGAAAAGTTGTCAGACACCAAAACGTCGCCCTTTTCCAAGGTGAAATAGAGGCACACTCGGCGATCAAAAAGAACGGAATCAACCAGAGAAATGAAATTCTGCGAGCAGTTGTCGATGCTAATGACATGGGAGTTGTAGGCAGTTTTCCAGCGAGGCCACGGCTAGAGCCAGCGCACGCATGGTGTCCCCAGCGAGGGATGCGGCACAATCAGCCAAGCTTCGAAATCGATCGTATCGATCCATTTTTTGGCTTCAGTTGATCGATCTATATCGATCACAGACCACAGTCGATCGACCACAAGTTCAAATCGAATCGATCGTCGATCAAATGGATTTTGGCTAGTCTTAGTCCTCCATATCTCCGCTGACTCTACCTACTAACTGAAGAACTTGTCTCCAATTATCTCCTTCAAGAAGACCTAGAGGTAGATGTGGTTGATATATGCCAGCCTTACTCCACGATCGAAGGCACTGTGCCATGCCAACTATGTGGCGTCGCAGGCGGCATCTGAACGGTGTTACCAACCTCCCGCAGCTACTAAAGTCTCTCTCAGTTTCGGCGGAAGAAGACGCGATCGTGAGGAAATCAATCGCCATGTAAGAGAGCTGGGGAAACCGCACAGCGCCAACGTCTCTCCACCAGGCAATCGGATCCGCTTTGTAGGCGATGTTGTCAACCGGCGGCTCAGATAGGTATTGTTCGAGCTCGTCCTGTGTTGAAAGTGCGGTTGGCTGTTTCGGCCGTTTACTTTGTAGACCTTCGGCGTCTTGGCGAACGATTGATCGACTGAACGCCAATCGGCGCTCAACATGATCCAAGGTATCATGGCTTCCAGGTTCTGAGATGGCATTGCAGGCTGGCTCGTGGGCCATGTGCCTATAATTTTCCTCCCAGTTTCTTGTCAAGTTCCTCTCGTAAGCGCTTTTTCATCCTGACGTCTGATGAGACGGCAGCTGATTCCAAAGCTGTTATAGAGCTCGCCATTTCTTACACGGATGGAATACAACCACCGCTACATAGGCGGTCGAGGTCAGTTTACCATAGTAATCGTTCAACTTCTTCCAGCCGATTTTAATGTAAATCTTTAAGAGCCTTCGGGTTTTTGCATCCATGTCGTCAAACAAATGAACTTCTTCCATCATACGATCATGGTTCTCTTCGATTACTACACCTTGAATGGCCAACTCGAGGTGATCAAGGAGCATCTCAATCACTTAAAAATACTCGTCGAAACCTCCTGATGTTGAGCGCTTGCCAGAAATACCAGCGCCCTGAAGTTGTTTTGAAGCAACCTTGAACAGTTGAAGGATCTTCTGCACCGCAGCAACGACCTTCCATTCCTCAAGCGAAAGCTTTTCTTTCAATATCGCTGGCCGATCCTGTTCTTTGCCGCCTTGGCTAATCCATCTTTCTTCAATAATGGACAGCATTCTGTTCAAAGCGGGTCGTGTCCCGCTCGTAAGGCCATGGCTTCATGGACTGCCAGCGAGTACAGACGTTTTGGACCCACGCCAATACTGGTTCGTCGGGGGTAGTTTGCCGTTGGGCTTCATGAAAGTCCCTTGAGAAGTTGACTGCTAGTTCGAAGAGCAATGCCGATGTTGTGCAACTTGCCAAACGGGCCGAACTTGCGATACTTCTCCATCTTGTCGCCATTGATTCTCTCAGGAACTGGGCATGAATCACGGCTGTCCCCTAAAGTAGTGTTTGGCTCGCAATCTTCCTCCTCCAGAACAGGCGTGTCAAGATCGTCGCCGCTTTGGAATGCATCAACAGCGTCGGACAACTGACGCTGCTCGTCTTCGTCAGTAATAAAATCCTGATCACCCCAATGCGCAAGCAGCTCCGCAAAATTGTCTTTTTTACCGCCGTACATCATTGCCTTTACTGACAGGTTCAAGAAGTGTGGAGCGCAGCGAATACGAGGTTCGCGCCGGTTAAAATCAAACTCCTAGGCAAGTGCTTCCAAAGCCGTATCGTTGTTCGTTGCGTTATCAAGCGTACAGTAACCAGCTTTATTTTCAAGACTGAAAGCATAGATGGGTCTGCAACCTCATCGGCGAGTGCTGCCCCAGTATGGCGCTTACGGAGAGCGGGTAACGCCAGGAGAATCTTCCACTGCTTCCAATCCTGGGTTATGAAATGGGCGTTGATCCCAAGGAATGATGCGTTTTGTCGGGAGGTCCAACCGTCAAAAGTGAAATGAATCATGCTTCTCGCTCTTTGAAGAATACCTCTCACGGGATCAAGAGCTCGGTTATGTTCTTTCGTTAAGAGGTTCACGAGGGTCCTGTCGCTGGGTATCTGTCCTTCTTGAAGACAAGGATTGTTGTAGAGCAGCAGTCGTCTGAAGCGCTCAGAATTTACCAGATTAAAAGGGAGGTTGTGGTAAGTTAGCCAGCCCAGTAGGAGAAGCTGGTTCATGGCCGGATCAAACAAAGTATGCAAATTGCTAAGAAGGCCTTGGTCACGAGGGTTTTTTGGATCAGCGCGCAGCATATCGAGCAAGGTCCGTTGTGCATCTCTTGTCCCAACAACCACGTCTTCGCGTGAGCTAGCAGGCGGGAAAATCTTATGTTCCTTTCTCAGATGCCGAACAATGCTTCCAGCGGTTGAGGTGATGAAGGTGCAATGTGTGGCTTTAATCTATTGCGGAGGAGGCATCTTTCACAGACCCATACAATCTTATGAGGTTCAGAGCCGTGGTCCTTCATCCTGAAGCCAAATTGCCACCACCACGTCCGCTCTCGAGAGGGGTCATGGCATGTTGTAAAGTTGGGAAATCGCTTGAACTTGTCAGTTGTCCAGGTCTGTTAGTTCGGGAATCTGCTGGGCTCATTTGCGCTTGAGCTTGAACTGATCGACGGTTCGGAAGGCGGCGGTGTTGCGGAGGTATTCTCCATCTCCTCATCGAACGGGTCCAACTTCATTAGGCAATCCATACTTCATGGTCAACCAAGTTGGCAAAGCCGTGGTGCGCCATGCAGATCGATATGATCGAAATCGAAATCGAATCGATTAATCGAATCGATTTCGAAGCTTGATGTAGGCAATAGTAAGCAAATGTCACCAGTGAGTAAGACTTAGTATATCGTCCTGCAATCTTGATTCTGTGTTAACAACTGGCTATCTAAGTTATCTAAAGAGCGTAGAGAAGTGAACTTATATATCTAGTTGGTTGGATGTCTTCGATGCACTCTAGAGCCGAGTTCATCGAGTCGTACTCGACCTACTCGATGATCGATTCTGTCGAGTAGTATTTGATTGCTGGATTGGATGTACATTATTCCGTTCTGGCCTACCCGGTAGGCCCTTTGGTCGCGACCATAAGTGTTGGTTCGTGACACTATATTCAAGGTTGCACGCCAAAAGGGCCTAGCACGTTAAAGTCAATCCTCAGCGACTGAACCATTGAAAATGCACTTTCAAACCCAGTTACATCTGCTGCTGCCAGCTTTCCTAACCATTTCTCATTCGTGATGTTAGAGCAATAAGAAGCCGCTGCATCAATAATTGTTTTAAATTGTGCCCAAGCGTTAGTAGGATTAGCTTCGTTCACTTTGCTAGAAATCTCTTTGTAGGAGATGGGGTTGGTCTCATTAGAAGCTTCCCCGGTTAGAGCAATGGCTTTGGCGCAGTTTGTCTTCAAATCATCCAGATATTCTGTTGCGAGGACCACATCATTCCTGCGACCAGAGCGACCGAGGTGTCCACCGAGGAAATAATCAAAGTCGAACTCCAAAGTTTGGGCGTGTGCTTTTAGAGTTCCAGGGACATCTTCAGCTTCTCCGATACGGGCCCAGGGGGCCCATCCAGGGAAGATTACGTCCACGAGCATTAGAATTTTCTGTATAGGAGCATGTATAAAGATGTTCCCCCGCTGGTGGTTCACTCCTTTATATGACAGCTGCACAGTTTGGTTCCCAACACATAGGTCATATGTGTCTTCAAACACAATATCCGGGACTGGTCTCTTTGGATCTTTTATATCTTCGAGAATCTTTTTCGTTTCTTCATGGGCAATTATTTTGACATGTTTCCCAAATAAGTAAGCCGCCCCAATATGATCGGCGTGCGCATGACTGTAGATAAGGTGTGTAATTGGGACTGTAGTCGTGTTCCCAATGGCATGGAGCATATTGTGGCCAATGGTTGGAGGAGCATCAACGACAATAACACCTTTAGTCGATACAAGAAAGAGACTGTTGTATAGATTGTCAGACACCATATAGGCGCCCTTCCCAAATTCTTCAACACGCCATCCAATGGTGCTATTTATGGTTGGCGGTATGGCTTCGGCGGGAACCGGAGCATAGCTAACAATGGGAACGGACTGAGAGACGACCGCCGTTGATGACAAAAGGGAGACGAAAACCCATCGTGAAATAGAACTTCGGAGAGTCATTGCACCTGATATAAACAAAACTAAATAGATTGAAGAGATTTATTGTAAATATGCTTGTATAAAGAAATTCGCAACCTATTAACGGCGTTGTTTAGATTCCAAACTGCAGTTGGAGTCTGGATGTTTTCAAGTTTAAGAACCACTTTGTCTACAGGGCCATCAAAGAAATTACAAATACAACGAAGTTATTTTTCTGCACTTAGACTGCTGATAAATATGAGCTCACTGCTGAGTGGATTGATCAGCAGTGGGTTACAAGAAATCTCAGCATTTGTCATTTTCGCTATTATATCTCCCAGCATTTTATTTTTACCAATAAATTATTACCAAGCTTTCTTTTTACTCTCACTAATAAGGTTTAAGATTAGTGCTATTGCATAACCAGGGGGATCAGATACCTATTTGAGAATGAAGTAAGATTTAGTTTTTAAGTCCTCCTGTCACAACCCAACCTCTTATGCAACCATCAGAGTACATGCCTGGAGAAACAATAGGCCGAAAAACCAATCAGAAGGCAGGAGCGACAGAGCGCAGCGACAGAGTGCAGCGCTCCCAACTATTATATATTTAACACCTCAAACTAGAAGCTAAATCTGGTATAAAATAAATTGAGGATTAAATTTAAGTATATTTTACGGTCTTTAATATTGTCTCAAATATTAGTTAACGTTTTTTTATTCTTCGTTGCTGTGAAATTTGCACTTTAATTCGTTGACCTCGCCGTCGATGATAGATATGCTAGCCAATCAATTTTTAGCGGTCAAAACTAAACTCTTTTGAATTTCGCGGTCAACTAAGCCCATTCAGAAATCCAGCACCCACCTTATACGCTAATAGATAACCTAGCCAATTGGAGGCTAAATTTAGCAGTCTTACATGCACACGCCTATTTACAGCATATCACAAGCTCTCTTATATATTTCTCAGGTAAAGAACCAAGAAAGCCTTATTTTCTATATTTCCTGCTTTTTTAACCTGTAGACTAGAAAAAACATCTGCCCTCCTAACCTATGAATAAAAATATTATCTGCTTTTCTGACCTATACATTGAAAAGGCCCCTCTTCCTCTTTAATCTCTGGATTAACACTCTCTGCGCCTCCCCTTCTTCGTATTCTATAGCTTCTATCAACTCTCTATTCTACCTATATACTTCTACCTGAAAAACTAATTTGACCAGTAACAGCATTATGGATGACACGAGCTCCAGAAATACCCTGGGAAAGCGCAAGCGTGGTAGGCCCCGAAAATACTCTACAACTAAGGCTAAAGCTGCAGCGGATGTAGAACGGAAGCGAGCGGCGCGGCGGGACGCTTCCTCTGCACAACGTGACTCAACGCATACCAACTTCTACAACCCAGTCCCATCTCTGCAATTGGCAAACACATTTAGCGGCTTCCATTCGCTAGCTAACCCTACTGATATGCCACAACCAGACCAAAGAGACATATCACAATTCCTGGCCGAAGTTGATCCTCAGTTGGAAGGGGATACGGTAGAGTTTTGAGAAGGAGAACTGAGTGAGCCAATCAATCTTCAATGTCGGGCGCAAAAAATATGGACGTCTGGAATCTGGTCTTTCAGAACGTAGCAGTGCTGCACAGTTGTCTTACTACATGAGGTCACGTAATTGACAATACATCATTATAAAAAGTCAACCCAGTACTTTTCATTCATATGTCGCACTGCATAGACTACTGTTTTCTATAGACAGTTTGCCAGTATCAGTCGCACCGGTAAAAGTCATTGTCGCCGGGCCGAGTTCTGTGGGCATAAGTACCGCAATACCTTTGGAGGTTAGCTGTAGTCGCATGATTCGAGTTATTGGCATTTTCGAACTTACCTTGCCACTATATTCCCTCCTTCATTCACAAAGGTGAAAATACTTCTAACGAGTCCAGGATCTCCTCCCCCGTAGGGGACCGTCCAAATAAGCGGGAATCCCCAGAGTTCACTGCCGCAGTCAGGACGATCGAAGTAGTAAATATGAGGGTATTTCCGATCTCCTGAGAGAGCAGGGTTAGTCATCCTAGTCGCCGCTGAAGAACAAATACTAGGACTTTCACTCACCAATAGGTTTATCTTTGTGTTGGAGAGCGCCGTTTCCGGCGTTTGTAATATCATTAGACGTAAAGCCACGGTTAACGCCACCTAGAAAAGAATAAGTCATTATTACTTTGCCTTCTATGCTTGGATATCTTACTGCATTTTACTTCCTTCGTAGGAACATTACTGACCACGGCGTTGACTCCCGAGGCGGCGAGAAGCACAGTGACGTACGAAAGAGGCTTCATTTTGAGAACAGCTCGGTGAAGATATTTATGAGGAAATAGATTTACGTTGAGTATGGCTCAAGTTAAATCGAGGATGCTCGAGAGATATATCGACTATATATATACTTTTTAATACACAACCTTTATGACATTGAGTGGAATGGAGTTATACATCATTACATCATTTATTCCGCCGGCTAGATCACAAGATATTTAAGAGGGCCCTATTGGTCTCGCATTTCCCGATGGCTTGCATAGCACATGCCAGTCTGATAATCTTCACAGCTATCACATTTACATACTTACAATGCTGTATCTACAATTCAATTATTCTCTATCCTACTGCATTTGGCCCCAAAGAATGAACCGTACGACAGCGACTCTGGAAACGAGTAATAAAACTCTGGGTCAACATCTATACTCTGCCTAAAACAAACCCCCTTCACAAGATCACATCGAGGGTGCGGAAGTTTTACAGAGTTATCGATCGCCGTTTCACCAAGTTGCTTGCAGACTCAAAGACGTGCCATTGGAGAAACTGGAATCGATACAACCATTCGCACTGAAGCCGTGGGAGAAACGAGTCCAAGCCTTTAACTATGAAAATGCAAGCTTAGAAACAGAAACAGAATGGGACATACGTGTGGCGGTGAGCAGCTCTGCACGCAACGGCGTGGTCGGGGTTGGCGGAGTTATCCGCGGCACACCATTTGTCGATGGGAACACGACAAGCCAGGAGTTCTCCTTCACTCTAGGTCTCAGAAACGAACAGAACCCGTATTCCGGAGAACTAGCAGCAATGGCGTATGCGTTAAATATCCTGCCCGATGTTAGCCACCGGCGAATTGCACTCTTAACTACCAACAAGGCAGTTGCTCTCAGCATCCGAAATCCCCGGCAGCAGTCCGGCCAAGAGTATATCCGCCAAACTTACAAAGGCTTAAGTAAGTTACGGCGGTATGGGAATGGGTTATTAGTATTCTAGATCCCCAGCTCCGACGAAAATGACCTTCTGTAGTTAACCAAGCGAGAGGCAAGACATGCAACCAAGGAAGGGACAGTTCCACAAAAACGGTTCCCTAGAATGAAATCCACTACCCTGAGCCTTGAGAAGAAGAAACTCAATGGCGAAAGGAGCTTACCAGAGGGAGTGGGCAAACACTCCAGAAGAGTCGATGCGGCCCTTCCAGGTCAGCATACTCGACAGCTATACGATGACCGACACTGGATAGAACGCAACGTCTTAGCCCAGCTGAGAACAGACATGTCGAGAATTAATAACTCACTTTATCGGATACATGCAGCACCATCCAGGCAGTGCGCCTGTAGACATGAGCCAAAGACAGTAGCGCATTTTTATTTCGATGAACAGGATGGGATCCGTACCGAACGGAGATGCACTAATGCACTGAAGATAAAAGAGGAAATATTTCATTCTTTTTAGGAGGAAAGGCGCCATCCGATGGACCAAACTGGATGCCGAATTTAAAGGTAGTGCAAGCAACGATCCGCTTTGCATTAGCCACAGGACGGCTGGAAACAAATAACACATACAAACTATAACACCCACGCACCAATTACTAACTCACCGCCCAACTCCCATTAATACCTCGTGCCAGAGACAGCAGACGTCGCTTCAGCTGCCGTAGAGAGGATCCTGAACACTTGGGGAATAAGCTCCAAGCTAGCCCGCTGTGAAGAATGATAAAACGCGAGAAACCGTAGCGACGCAAGAGAATAGGTTGTAAGAACAGAAGCTGGATGACAAGGACTCATGGGTTTCAATGAGACAAAAGCTAAGCTTCAGAATGTACACGTGCCATAAGTTCATAGTTGCCCTTTTGGACTTTCCACTGGGCGTAATGAATGAATGAATGGATGTAACCATGACTGCCTTTCGCAGCCTTGTACAGAGAGTCCTTGAAGCGGCGATCGAAACATCTAGGCGTTTGATGTACGACTGGGAGCCGCCTCCCCAAACTTTAAGAATATCCACGACAGGCTCTCGAATTTAGCTTCCGGCTACTCATTTATTACCGTATAAAGAATGGTCGTCTGCAGGTCTAAAGGCACACGGTTGCCTTGAGCTGAGGGTACGCGAGGTGCATTCCTTGATCCGGACAAAGTGTGCTGCCGGCGCCGTGCCATTGGCCAAGACTATGACAATGATACGCAGCATTGCAATGGTGTGGATACCGGACGCCAGGATTGTCAGCTGCAGGACACATCTTGGAAAAGTGAGGTGACCTCCCATGGGATGGTCGCGTCGGCAGCGTTCGGGCGTAGGGCAGCTCGTGGCTTGTAACGACTAAGGCAGCACTTGAAGTAGAAGAGCTTGGTAAAACGATGTGCTGAGTATGCTGGCCGTTTACATGAGCTCCGGCGACGAAGCATAGTTGGTATACATGCGACGAGCTGGAAGAGTACGAGTCGACAAAGAACTCGCTCAATATATTACAGATGCCAAAATCACCATCAGCCCGGAGAAGAACGATGAACTGCGCCGCAAAATCGATCGGCGTATTCTAGCTGTCATGATATCGACATATTTACGTAAGCAATTGACAAAGGCACCATTTGCCTCAATTATGGGCATTAAAGCTGATAGCGAGCAGCTGGTTTGAGGTTGGCCGTGAGCCGTGACGTACTAGTCGCTGTAGAGGCAAGCCAGGATGCTAACATACTTTATGAGCAAAGTAACCCTGCTTTAGAATTAAACATTAGCTAACTCTTTCGCTTGTGGCTAAAACAGCCCGAGATGACTAGCCACTGACGCACAATCACTATTATAAAGCTAAGGGATGCCCCCGCCATCTACCCATCTATTTCATCTCCATTGACAAGGAGTTCATATATATATCAGAGGAATGCATTCAGAAAAGCTTTGCAAATGGATAGCGAGGTGAGTTACTACGACAAGAATTACTACAAACCAGCTTAGCATTTAGCTAGGGACCGGGATCAAGGAGAGCTTTGTGACCGACGGGGGGGAGCAGACGCCAGAGAACCCGGCGGCGTCAACGCCATTCGCGCGAGAGAGGCAGCGAATAGAAGCCTCCATGGCGGAGAACGAGTTCGCCTTTCGTTTCGAGCAGGTCATATCCGTCGACGCGGCGCGGCTGGTGCGGGAACGCCAAAATTTTGGCAGCATCCTGCTGCCCATCTTTCAGCTGATGCGGCTGTTTCTTAAGGAGAAGCAGCTGTATGCCAGCATCCTCAGGAAGTTCCCGCCGCAGGTGTTCCCGGGGGTTCTGACGGCCTTTGCGAGGACGATCGAGCTCGCCATCGGGGAGATGGACCGTCGCTTCAAGGAGGGCGGCTCGAAGGGCCTCGGGCTGGCATCGTCGGAGGGCGTGGCCGCGCTCGATCGGCTGGGGCACTTCTGCTTCACCGGAGACCCGAGGGTGCTCCCGTCCAAGGTGTTCGGGCTGCTCGGGACGATGGAGGGCCTGCGCACGCAGGGATGGCCGCAAATCTCCCCTCGCATGCTTAACCTCCAGAAAGGCAAAGAAATCCTCAATCTCGCGAGGTGGCCCCGAGGCAAGGATGGCCGGCTCTCATTGATGCACATCCCAGCGCTCGCATACCACTACGGGCCGGCGGTAGCAGCCAGCAAGCATAGCCAACTGTGGTTCTCCGAGCTGGGCGGACAGCGCATTGAAGGGCTAGGGGGGGTGACGACGTTTTTCGGCCAGGTGTTCCGCGACGTGTGGGTGCCGGAAACGGTTGCGTTCATGAGCCATCAGCTCCATCGCAGCCTCAGCCAGAGCGCACACGGCAGGTCTGGGGCCGCGTCGGTGGAGGTCGAAGCTGTCGTGAAAGCCGCTGCGACCTTGGAGGCGTGGGAGCAGGGTGATGCTCCGTTTAGCTGGTCGTAAGTTATCCTGCCGTCTCTCCTCCTTCCCTATCCATGCCCAATTCCCCCATCTGACCCAGGCTTGGTAACTCTCTCACATGTCTGACACCAATTGACGAACCTTCATCTTTCAGGCACTACCAAAGGCTCTCCCACCATATGCTTGCCGTAACAAACAGGGCCACTCTCAACGACAGGTCCAAAGTATGGAACATGATCCGGCGAGACTATGCCAGGCAGCTCTATCTCGCGCTGATAGAGGATGGCAAAGGTACGAAAGGCGCTCCGAAGACTCAGTGCACGCCACCTGGCCGTCGCTCATCAAAGCGGCGATAGAGGACGCAAGCACATCCAAGATACCGGCAGAGCAGTGGATCGGCGGCATTGCAACGGCGTTGCTCTCAACGGGCATCGAGTGGGTTCCGGGGTCGTACGCAGGCAAGTTATCTCATCTGTGGGCCGTACGCTTCGTCGGGTCGGTGTCGACGATGATGACAAACCTACGTCGCGGCCGACGAACCTCAAAAGGGCGGCCATGGAAGCGGAAGCGAGGATGGAGGCCAATCTATCGGGACCCAAGAGGGTCAAGCGACAACGGATCGACTTCGGATGCAAGATCCCGTTCGAACGTGTTCTCGACCTAGTTCAGGCAGGATTCAATGAAGTTCGACGGTTTAACGAAGACCAAAAAGTGCTCGACCACTACGCCACAGCCTACTGCTGTCTCGAGAGCTGCCTCGGGGACCCGCTTTGCGATGTAATGCTGATATTGGTGCTGACAATGGCAGCTTCAACAGAAACGCCGGATGTGAAAGTCAACTCAATCATATTCAGTGTGGGATCGAGGAAAGAGCCGTCTTTGTTGTGGCGAACATGGTCACAAAGATGCTTTGGTTTCTGCGGCCTAGCGCATTTCCGTAGGAGAACGCCAATGATAAGAGAGGCTATCGGGTGGGAGATATGGCCAAGAAGATAGGTGAGTAATGAAATGGCGGCGGCCAGGCAGTCTGCTACAAGGAACCCACCAGCAGGAGTTACCGTCGGAGAACAGAGTCACTAAGCTATATGGCAGAACACAAGGGTGTGAACAACCGGATTCTGCATGCTCTTGGATGGATTACACGGTAAGAGGCCGACGCCGCAAATCAGCGAGTCTAAGCTACGGCCGGCAAAAGATTTACTAAAGCTTCGGAAGGAGCTGCTAGATCAATTGAAGAATGCGCAGAGCTTCATATGGTTTGTATTCAAGAGCAATAGTCAGGATTAGGTAGACAGATGCTCGTCTCTCATCCAGTGAGAGGAACTAGGAAGGCTAATCTAGGAGACGTTAGCTTTATCGCTGCTTATGTTTCCTTCTTCCTACTTAATACTTTATCTTGAATTCATTTAAGTAAACTATATTTTATATATTAGCAGGAGCTCTAGCTTGTTAAGCTGGGGTAAGTTAATAATACCAGAAGTCATTATTTAAGGCAGCTATATATTCCGCACTTATATATATAAAGGGGGGCTCCTACTGCCTATTTACTACTCTACTTCTTCTTCTTTTAACCTCCGCTCTCATTCTTACGCCCCTGCGCTTATACATCCTAAGAGCATCTTACTAGATCCTCGCCGATGCACTCTAACAAAGTTCGCACAGCACCTTGCATCTTTTCTAGGCGTAAAGCGGCCTGTTCTTGATTCTCTCCTCGGCCGGTTCTAGCTTCGATCGCTGGGAAGTTCAAATGTGAGTCGCGATACAAAGAAACTCGTACCGAGCCGTAAGAGTACTCAGTAAAAGAGCAAGATTATAGTGACCTACAAAGACCATCAGAACCGGCCACTGGGCCGGGCGATTTCGTTGCGATGCCATGCTCGGAGACGATAACCCTCTCAGCGGAGGAGTAGTCTCGAGTATCACTGGCAGCATTTGGCAGCGACTCCTTGTATAGATCGGGAGCACTCACAATTGTACTATCAACAGGAATCCCGAGGCTGCTAAGCTTGTGTTTCTTCCGTCTTTTATGCCCATCTTGCGTTAAATCATGGCTGGTCGGGAAGAGACAGCAGCAGTGTTATGGACCCGCTTCTTGGAGAGGGTGCTACCGTTCTTGGGATTAGCCGTGTGAACGGCTACAGACCGGGAGGAACAGAGGCAGGAAATAAGATATTTATGAAAGAGCTTCTGTCGCAGTTGGACCTGAAAGTCCGAGTGACCTGAAAAGGCTCGGGAACGAAGGCTAAAGGAATCTGATCCTCCAAAAGGGTTGCTTCTCAACCAAGCAAAAATAAAGATAAATGAAATGGGCGATAGATATACCATTATGGCTTATCTCGTGGGAGTTTTGTGGCGCCATGCACGACAATTGGTGATCGGCCTCCCGCAGAAATACAACAAAGGGACCATTTCAAAGAGGGGGGTTATGGAGTCAAAGCCTGGCCGTTCTGTTGGCTTGGATGCCTGTAAAATTGTCTATAATGCATAAACAATGGTTCATATATCGGTCGGCTTTTCATTAAACAGAGCGCATCAACAACTATACAATATCTCTAGCACAAGACCGTTGACGGCGTCGGTCTATTCGAAACTGAGATGTACATATCCGGAACGCACGGCGGACGCGGTAGGGGCAAAACCTCCTCATTCAAGCGGTGTTTGTTCTTGAAACACATCGGGGCCACGAACATAGCAAACGCCTAAGCAGCAACTATAGAAACTCGTCCTTCTCCGCTCTGTTATCTTCATATGTTGCAAGGAGGTGGAGCTGTCGGCGATGTGGCGGATAATGCCACCGCTTTCGGCTGTCGAGACTGGGACTTTGCCTGCGTTATAACCGCTGTTCGGCCTCGTAATGAGAGCGGAACTAACGTTGCTCAGGCTGCCATACAATGGGTGTATAGCGTCGCCAGGAGCTTGTTGCCCTTGAGCAGCGGAGTTTATGGTGCCGACCTTGGGCCAGACCCTAGAGACACCGCGCTGGCAGCTAAGGCTTTCGGGCCAAACGGACCGCGCCTGGCCCAGCTAAAACATAGCTTGGACGTGCACAACGTGCTGGCTTACGCCTGTCCGCTCTCGAAACTGCCGAAGAAACAGAAGCTCATTATACTTGTTACGGGAGAAAGCGGCGTCGGCAAGGACTACTGCGCCGACGTTTGGGTTCCTATGCTCGCTAGATCTGCCGACCAACCCCGTGAGGTACACAAAGCCAGTATCAGCGATGCCATCAAGCGAGAATATGCAGCAGCCACCGGCGCTGACTTGGATGGTCTGTTAGGGGATCGGGCTTACAAGGAACAACACCGGCCGGCATTGACGACATTCTTCAAAGAACAGATGCGAAAACAGCCTTGGCTTCTAGAAAAGCAATTTCTAAATGTGGTGTCCGGAGCCGCAGATGCGGATGTGCTGGTGATCACTGGGATGAGAGATGAGGCGCCTACTGCGACCTTGTCACATCTAGTTCCGAATAGCAGGTTACTCGACATTCGGGTCACAGCTAGCGAAAAGACGCGGCAGACTCGCCGGAAATGCCAAGCCGGCGACGATGATCGACAGGATAGCCATGATTGCGAGGATGACAATAGTAGCGATAATGGCAGCAATTGTAAGTCGAATTCGACGACACTGGACTACTGCCCCAGCCTCGTCTTTGACAATGGAGCAACAGCAGATGAGGCGGTAAGGAGGTTTGCCGATACGTACCTGCTTCCCTTTCTCCATGGGGACCTGGAGCGACTGGCTAGTATGGTGCTCCCTGTGCCCGACTTCCCACGCCCAGGCATCGAGTTCCGCCATGTGCTCAACATCGCCCAACAGCAAGGCGGGTTGGCTTTGTGCACTTCTTTGCTACAAACCCACTTCATAAATGACTGGGATAAAATTGGTATAGTGGCCTGTTGCGAAGCGGGAGGCTTTGTGTATGCATCGGCATTGGCCTAGCAAGTTGGCGTCCCCTTGGCGCTAATCCGCGAAGCTGGCAAGCTTCCCCCACCCACCGTTTCCGTCAACAAGCCTTCATCACACATCGCATCTTCGGAACCTAACAATTTAAAAGGGAAGAAGATTGAGATGAGCCTGGATTTGATTCCAAGGGGCGCATCGGTGGTGGTGGTGGACGACGTACTTGCCACAGGAAGGACGCTTTATGCAATACTTCAACTATTAGCTGAAGCAGGCATCAGTAATGAGGATATTAGCATCATTGTTATAGCCGAATTTCCGGTTCACCGTGGTCGGGAGCTGTTGTATCGTCATGGCTTTGGTGGGATCAGTATTCAAAGCCTTTTGGTATTTGGCGGGGCCTAGATAACACTATAATACATACACTTTTCATTTCTTATGATAAGTTTCACAGCGGCTATGATATTAATAATAGTGTAATAACTATTATAATCCCTATAGCATTCTCTGGCTATCTTTATTTTGCGTTTTTACTCTAGGAGATTCCCTTTTGGGGGAGAAAGAAAGCCAACATGACTATGCAAATACTGGATGACATAGATCCTTCCTCTGTGGCGGCCGACCTGTACAATGAAAACGAGGATAGTGATGACGGCCTTTATGGTCATGCGTCTGAAGAAACCTACGACGATATCTATCTTGATACAGCCAATAACTCAACTTATAACCTGAATGAAGATAATAATACATCTAACCGGGTAGAAGATTTCAAGATAATTCACTCTTCTGTTCAAAATGAGGCGTTATGTTAATTCACCAATCCCGAGTGAAAACGGGAGTTGAAGTCAGAGGGCGAGAGCCACTACTAATGCAAAGAGCGAGAAATGCAGCCGAGCGCCTCACTTCTACAACCAGCTCTCCGGACTTCACTGCGCAACAGGCCATGAGCATCTTCCAACGGAGGTTTACAATGGACTATGGCCGGGGAGGAACTGGATCGAAGCGGGCAAGTGACAAGGACAACTACTTTCCCATATTCCACCTCGACATGATCAGCATCGTGGGCTGCCCGCTTAGGCCGATCACCAGCGGCAGCGGGTCCTTGGAATGTCATGTTCACACTACAGTATTGGCAGGCGCCGTATAGCTCTAAGCACGCAGTAAGCAGTCTTCCCTTTGACCTGACAAACCGAACCTTCCGACTGGGCACCGGATCGACTCGCGAGGTGTGGTTCGTGGTAATGCACCCGATGCAGAACGACATGTTCGAGCTGCCTCATTCCCGAGCCGAGCTGCGGCGACAGAAGGATGCGACGTATATCAAGCAGGTCTTCCTCCTTGGCGATCTCCTGGGCGAAGGGGCCGAGCCTTCATGGCGACTGGGCGAGCGACGGTCGCAGCATCTGACTGGCGATAAATGGACATCTTTCCAAGACTTCTTCATGGAAGGGTGGTCTAGCTTTGCGTAAGCCCATTCGTATGACAAGTTCTAGATAGACTAATGCCCTGCGTTTCATGCCTATGACCACGGCGCGAACATTGAGATTAAGGTCAATGGCCTGTTTACGGATATCCCGGTCGAGACTCGCGTGCGGAACGACGACGATGACGACGACATAAATGAAAGCGTGTATAGCGATGACGAAGATGATGGCGATAGATATACTGGGGAGCAAGAGGAGCGGGAAAGAAAAGAAGAGAGAAAATCGGAGGAAAGGGAAGGGGGGAGGAGAGTGGAGCAAAACAATGATTACAGTGAGCAAGGCAGTACCGGTACTATTATATAAGCCAGTAATACTTTTAAGACCAATCTCTATTGAAGCCTACTTTAGGTTTGTAGTATGTATAATAAGGAATTATTAATATCTTATATATACTATGTTACAACTCAACACCACGTAACGGTACGTACCACGGACTAGGTACGGACCGACGGGCCAATCATGTAAAGAGCGACGACGAGCGCTGTCGCTCTTGATCGCTCTACTAAGAAAGGCGACGAAAGGCGACATCGCTCACGAACGACCTCACGGAACGACTTACTATATAAGACATTCAAGATACACTCATTAGATAGCTTAAATAGTCAGTCGTTAACAACACAATAGTACTGTACCAGATACGAGTTATATCTTATCTACCAACTACGTGACCTACGCAACGTGCTCAACAAGGATATCCTATTCCATCTGCGAATATAGACATATGCATCTATCCCTTGGGAATCTCCCTACCCTACAACATTATATTTAGGACCTAGGGACCGGATCGTTATATACTAGTAGTACATAAGCATCCGATAAAATAAAGTGCTATAAGTAAAAGAATTGTATGTAGTGTTTTTTCTAATAACTTATATATAGAAAGGCTAAAAGAACATATATAGTTAGTAAATACATACAGTACCTTAACATATCAACTACTAGATGTTTATACAGTAAGTCACATTTGCAAAGTCGACCAAGGTCGACGGCGGCTTTCGTCGACTTTCTTCATAAGCCGACCAAGGTCAACAGCGGCCTGTGTCGACTTTCATATGACTGATCCGTCCGCCCGTACGTACCGTTACGAGGCGCTGATTCGTAACATGAAGCCGAAAAGTTGGTTTACTGAAAGTCATACCAACGGTTAGTGCCACATAAAATTTCGCGAAGATAAATACCCGTTAGTTCCCCTTATAGAGAATAGCTTTGCTACAGTGATGTTCATGATCGGTTTCCTCTTTTCCTCTCTCTGTCTTTCTTTAAAGAGAAGGCGCACGGACCCTTGGTACCTTCCAGTACTTTACAGTACTACGCTGAACTGGACTGCCAGAAGTGGCTGAATGTAATGGCCTAAGAAGCCCTAGCGCGTGCCCTCAAATAGACTGTAAGAGTCAAGTTCTTTAAAGTAGCTGCAAGTACATAGCAGCCTATGGCTCACGTGCTCGGACCGCAACAGTGCCACTAAGACTGTTAGATACGTAGTAATCGTTATTAGCTACAACAGCAGCGAGTCACCGATATCTCGTAACTACTCATGTGACGTTGGATGCATCGTCGCTCTACCCCGTGTTGGTTTTGCGGTTACATTTTTGATCAGATTCAAATCATAGAGAATATTCAATATTTAATTTCATTAATAGTTAAATCACGAGCATTATATTCATGTATTTCATTTCGTCAATGCTTTTACAGCATCATCTGCAGACTGAATATGTTCCAGCACATGGCACACAACGCGAGAAAAGATGTCAGTAATGCATTGCTGCCTACATCATAAGGCCTCCATTTCACATTACGGCAGAACTCAGATCCGGAAGTCGTTGATAATAGCTTGTATGTGATGGCACGTGACTGAATCCTAAATACGAACTTTAAGTCCTGATTCCGAACAATCAGCTTTTTCCGCAATTTCAGAGTGCAGAGATCCTAAGAGCGTGAGAATGACGCACCTAGCTTAACCTTAACTTTAACCTTAAGCTAATTTCTCTGCATCTTCATCCCTCCCCAGCGCATGATATGTTGCTGCAAGACTTGCCATACTCCAGATTGTATCAGGATGCTTCTCGCCAAGAATCTCCTGCCGTAGTGCCAGTACTTCTACCTTTATATTCTCTGCTTCTTTATACCTGCCAAGTGCATGATATATTGCTGCAATACTTGCCATACTTGCGATCGTATCAGGATGCTTATTGCCAAGAATCTCCCGCCGTAGTGCTAGTGCTTCCACTGTTATTCCCTCTGCCTCTTTATCCCTGCCAAGTGCATGATATATCGCCGCAACACTTGCCATACTCCAAATTGTATCAGGATGCTTCTCGCCAAGAATCTCCCGCCGTAGTGCTAGTGCTTCCACCATTATATCCTCTGCTTCTTTATACCTGCCAAGTGCATGATATGTCGCTGCAAGATCTGCCATACTCCTGATTATATCAGGATGCTTCTCACCAAGAAGCTCCCATCGTAGTGCCAGTGCTTTCACCTGCATTCCCTCTGCTTCTTTATACCTACCAAGTTCATAATATGTTACTGCAAGATCTGCCATACTGGAGATTGTATCAGGATGCTTCTCACCAAGAATCTCCTGCCGTAGTGCCAGTACTTCTACCTTTATATCCTCCGCTTCTTTATACCTGCCAAGTGCATGATATGTCACTGCAAGGTTTGCCATGCTCCAGATCGTATCAGGATGCTTATCGCCAAGAATATCCCGCCGTAGTGCCAGTGCTTCTACCTTTATTCCCTCCGCCTCTTTATACCTGCCGAGTCCATGATATGTCACTGCAAGCCTAGCCATACTCGTAATCGTATCAAGATGCTTATCGCCTAAGGTTGTCTTTCGTAATCCATATGCTCTTTGGTCTGCAATCTCCCTCTCTCTCCATCTTCCACGCTCGTATTGATAATCCGATAGCCTTGCTAACAAGTTCGCGGCTGTTAACTCTCTTCCACAGAGTGTAGCCCACTCACACGCCTGCTGTGCGTGTGTGGTATACTTCTCGCATTTGTTCCATACCTCTGGTCCACTGACCGGGAAGAGACTCGAAACAATCTCAAGTGCTGCAGCCGAGAAATACTTTTCCTCTTTCTTTCGCTCCTTTCTACCTAGTCCATATCGCATCGCTTCTTGCACTAGCTTGTGCACCTTATATGCGCGATTTCCATCTCCAGTAGCCTGTACACTTAAAAACGAAAAGTCACAGAGACGGGCGATAGCTTCAGTAGTTCTATCACCATCACTATCAGAGTCTGATGAGGAATCATCATCGTGTGCTTCGTGAACATGATCCATCACATCACTGTCGTCGCTGTAAAGAGCTGCCTGCTTGACCAACTCCAAAGGGATGTTCTGGTTATCCAGAAAGGCGTGTATGTGCAAAATCTGATACGATGTCTTATTTTCAATCTGAAGATGCTTCATCGAAATGTTCCAGGTCTCTAGAATACTGTTCGATACCTCTCGTCGCCGATGACGGTCAGTTTGTGATTGCTTTAGAATCTTCCATCTTTTTTTGCCCTCTTTCAATTTCAACATGTATTCCTCGACAGTTGTCAAAGTCCTCTTTATATATGCTGCAGCTTGCGATATAGCGAGTGGCAGCCAGTCAAGCTCGGCAAGAAGCGCTGCAATATCTTTTGCCTCGTCGCTGCTCGCTTGTTTATTTCTGACACTGTCGAACAGCTCTTTCGCCTCATCTAGAGTCATAATTGAGACTTTGATTGCCCTTCGAGCAGCAACAAGATATCCAGCGATGCGCTCGTCGCGGCTCGTCCAAAGAACTTGGCCCCTTGGACCTCGTGGGATGAAATTATCTAGACTTAATGCATGTTTTCCCAGATTCAAAGCATCTTGTGCGGTATGGCCGACACCAAAGAGCCTCAAGTTATCCGCGTTATCCAGAATAAGTACCCATGGAGGGCTCGTCTCGATACGGTAACGTACGGCCATTAAGAGATCTTCGCCATCGAGATTGCTTGGGACACCTAGCCTCTTCGCGATCGACTTGAAGTCTTGGGTGAATGTCGTCTCGTTATCAGCATGGACCCAGAACACGGAGCAGGTGGGGACCTGGCACCGGCGATAGGCATAGTCGAGGGCAATCTGAGTTTTGCTGGGTTGCCGCTACTTAGCAACGTATCACACATCATAGCGCGTGGATGGCTTACCCTGAGCCGCCAAGACCATAGAGGGCGGCGGTGGAGTAGTCTTCGGATAGCGGCAGGAGTCTATCTATCTCACTCATAAGGTCTTGACGAGGGATAAGCTCCTCATTGCGGGGAAAAGGAATTTGGACATAAGGTTCGCCGGGGTTACTGGCGTAATTGTGGATCACATCGCCTTGATGAATCCGGGCATTATTTCCAATACTATTGGACTCGATGGCGTGGGTAGAGCTCATAATGCCACTATTCTTGTCATAAAAAAGAAAGTAAGTAACAAAAGCAAGGCCGAAAGGGCATTTGTGAGGTTATTCTAGATTGTGCTGAGTCCTTCAGTGGTGCGCGGGGTAGGTAGCTTATGGTCCACAATTCATTGACAAAATAACGGGAATCAAGTAAGGGGAATCATCACCGAAGCTGACTACGTCTTTTGTCACCATTTCCAAGCGTGCTGCGGTCAACGGTAGAACTTAATTCCATAAGTTACGACAAGCGTGACCATTACAGGCACTATGTGGGTCTATTTACAAAATAAAAGAGAGTGAGTAAAAGAGGAAGCCGATTATGAACATCACTGTATAATGCTAGTATTCTTGTGATTTATGTAGAAGAAAAAGCATTTGTGAGGTTATCTAGATTGCGCCAAGTCCTTCACAGGTGCGGGGTAGCTTATGGCCCATAGCTCGTTGACAAAATAATAGGAATTTAATAGGGCAAATCATCAGCAAAACTAACGAAATATTTCATCACCATCGCCGGGCGTGCAGCGGATACCGGTAGAACTTAATTCCAAAAGTCGAGATGCGTAATAGAAGGATACAGTGCATCTAATAGTACTTTACACACTATATGGTTTTAAATAAACTGGAAGAGTGGGGTTTAAAAAGGAAGCCGAATATCAACATCGCTGTAAAGTAGGGCAATCATTCTGAAGCTGTACATCTAAAGCATCACTCTCTGAAGACTGTGATTTTCAGCGTTACTAAGGGATCTGAATTAAAGTATCGTTTTGTACGTATGAATGCGCGGACGGGTGTAAGAATCGGCTCTTTGTCCCTTGTTAAGTGAATTGGGATGGGTACGTGGAGGTACATGCTAAGTATTGCCTGTTGGCCTCTTATGGACTAAAGTTGCCCCTCCTAAAATAATTAACTAAAAAATTTAGAGACACGGATTCCGCCTTTCACTGTAGTTAAACTTATGAGGAAAAGTCACAACTCGAGGGCCATTTATGTAACACAGATTGATAGTTGCCCTATTGGAGGAGACTCCACCGGGCGTAATAAATTGTGTGTGTGTGTGTGTGTAGTTAAACTGACTTAGTACGAAACTGGAATATTTCCGGATCATCTGGGAATAATATCTAATCAAGCCTTACGTTTTGAAACCACTTTATCAATCAGTTTGTTGTTGTGTGGAACACCATGGCGGATCCCGCTGCGGGGGAGACCAGGCAGGTGGGGCGGGTGAGCCCCGCAATGCCGAAACGATCAATGCGTTTGGCGAAGGCGACCGCGAAGGCGATTGAGATGAATCGACGGGACGGTCGGATGCCCAAGGATGCCGAGAAACGAACCACTAAGCGCACCAGACGAGCTTCGTCTACGGATACGGATTTCGAACCAACTATCAATGTTAGAAGCGAAGCCGCTGGAGATGATAGCGAGAGGGCACTGCTCGGCAGAGTGTTGGAAGAGTTGAAGCATCTTAAGGAAGAGTCTATCAAGCAACAGGAACTCATCTGCAAATTGGAGTGCGAAATAGTTAACACAAAGGAACAGCTTAAACATGTGGTGACACAGCTCGAGGCGACGACACAAACCACGATCACGTCTCCGTCTCCCGTGCATGGTCGATCTTCGTATGCCGACGTCGCGCGCACCCCACCCGACAGTCTCCCGAGTAATATTCGAACGCTATCGTCGGGTGTCACGACACCGTCGAATAGTTCCGAATCACTCTTCTGCACTGTTGATGTGGCGAAAGTAGGCGTTGAAGAGCGCAGCCGTGTTACACCCGGCGAGATTCGAGCTGCAGTGGAAAGTGAAGTCCGTGAGGAGAAGGAGTTGCCAGCTTGGCGATGTCGGGCTGTTACGCAAGACCTCAAAGCCTCCCACCGGATCAGGATCGTATGCAGGGACGAGGCCGAACATCTAATGATCAAGCGTATTGTGGAAAAGAGACTACCACGGAGCGTTCGAGTTTTAAGGGATGAGTACTATCCCATTAAGGTTGATGGTGTCAGCCGTTCGGCGGTACTAGACGAACTTGGCAAAGAACTACCTGGCTTAAATGACATGCTTAGCAGCGAAATGCTACAGAAGTCGTCAAAGTCAGCTGGTTGAGTGATAGACTGCTCAAGGATCATGGTTCAATTGTAGTCTACCTTAAGAAAGCACCTGAGGCGGGCCGATTCTTGCGCGAGGGATACTTTTACGCCGGAGGACTGTCGGGTCAGACATCAGCATTCACGCGCCGACAGCGACCAAACCAATGCTATAATTGCCAAGAACTAGCTGATCACAAAGCCTTTCAATGTAAGAAGCCGCAGGTCTGCGGAAGATGCGCCCGGGAGGGTCACCACCATAGTGCTTGCACTGAGGCCATTCCAAAATGTGCATTGTGTGGTGGGCCACACGAATCATTCAGCAAAACTTGCAGGAGGCTTTACCCATCTTATAATGGGTAAGTCCCTGCGGATAATACAGCTAAATGTGCAAAAGCGGAGCGAAATACACGACAGCTTAATGAATGATGAGGAGATTCAGGATGCGGCGGTGGTTGCCGTTCAAGAACCCTGGGCGTGGAAGATCAATGGGCGACTGCTCACCACCCCCATGGCGCATCACAAATGGACGAAAATAGTGCCCACGATCTGCAGGGAAGACAACAGATGGCCCATCCGAAGTATGCTGTGGGTCAGGAAGGATCTGGAAGCCGAGCAAGTTCCAATAGAGTCATCGGACTTAACAGCAGTGGTGTTAAGGCTTCCGGAGAAATGGGTTTTAATAGTATCAGTCTATGTGGAGGGTGTTGACAAGCAAGCGTTAACAGACACGTGCCACCTGTTACGGCAAGTAATAGCGGACGCAAGACGAGGTGTGGGCCAGCAAGTAGATGTTGTGATTGTAGGCGACTTCAACCGACATGACCAACTGTGGGGAGGTAATGAAATCCTGCCTGCCAGGCAAGGAGAAGCGGACGAGATTATTGAATTAATGACCAAATTCTCCCTTAGCAGCCTGCTGCCCAGGGGGGCGAAGACTTGGAAAGGGCGAGACAGTGAGGGGAGGGTCCGTGAAACTACCATCGACTTAGTGTTCGCGTCTCAGGATCTAGCGAACGACCTAGTTAAATGCGGACCACATGCTACGGACCATGGATCGGATCATAGGACAATCGAGACTATCTTCGAAACGGAGGTGCCTGAGCCAATACCCCAGGAACGCTTGCTTTGGAAGAACGCTCCATGGAAGAAGATAAGTGCCAGGGTTGCCGCGGGTCTGGATGGGATTCCGACCGAGGGTACGGTTCAACTGCAGACAGATCGTCTCATGTCGGCTGTGCTGGAGGCGGTTCACGCCTTGACACCCAAGGCCAAGCCTTCCGCCTACGCAAAGCGATGGTGGACGACAGACCTTACGCAACTTCGCAGAATACACACATACTGGCGTAGCCGAGCCAGGACGGAGAGACGTGCAGGCCGGGGGGTACTCGAACTCGAAGTAACGGCCAAGGCTGCAGCCAAACAGTACCATAACGCTATTCGACAGCAGAAGAAATCCCACTGGGATGCCTTCCTTAAGGACAAGGACAACATCTGGGAAGCAGCAAAATACTTGGACCCGAGCGTCGGCACGGCCTTTGGCAAAGTGCCTCAACTCGTACGGGCAGACAAATCTCGGACGGCCTCTAATGAGGAACAAGCTACAGAGTTGCTGGCCACCTTCTTTCCGCCTCTCCCTGACGGCATTGAAGATGAGGGCGATCGACCTCAACGACCTCCGGTACCCATGCCGGACCTTACCATGGAGGAAATAGAGCGGCAGCTACTCCAGGCCAAGCCTTGGAAGGCACCGGGTGACGATGGACTACCGGTCATTGTATGGAAGAACATTTGGCCAGTCGTGAAACACAGGGTGCTGGCAATATTTCAGGCATCACTAGAAGAAGGAGTGTTACCGGATCAATGGCGGCACGCAAAGATCATACCCTTGAAGAAACCCGATAAGCCTGATTACGCTCTCGCGAAAGCATGGAGACCGATTTCGCTGCTGTCGACGCTTGGCAAGCTTTTAGAAGCTGTCCTCGCGGAAAGACTATCTCACGCAGTCGAGACGTACGGCTTGCTACCCACGAATCACTTCGGGGCACGCAAGCAGAGGTCGGCAGAGCAAGCACTGATGCTTCTTCAAGAGCAGATATACGCGGCTTGGAGAGGGCGTCGGGTGCTCAGTCTTATTAGTTTTGATGTCAAAGGAGCTTACAATGGTGTCTCTAAGGAAAGACTAATTCAACGAATGAGGGCAAGAGGCATCCCGGAGAAACTGCTCAGGTGGATTGGGGCCTTTTGCTCGGATCGTACAGCTATGATTATGGTTAATGGGCGGTGTTCTAAGACCCAAGCCTTAGCACAACCGGGCTTACCACAGGGGTCGCCGCTCTCCCCAGTTGCATTCTTGTTCTACAACGCAGGCCTTGTGCAGCGACGGATTGACGCCAACGGAGGTGCCATAGCGTTCGTTGACGACTTTTCGGCATGGGTCACGGGTCCAACGGCTCATAGCAATCGTGCCGGGATAGCCTCGATTATCGAAACTGCTATGGAATGGGAGAAGAGAAGCGGCGCAACATTCGAAGCGGATAAAACCAACCTCATCCACTTTACTCGTAGTGACCCCAAAGTCGATAGACTGCCTGCCGTTGTCAAGGGACAGGCGGTGCATCCTACGGACCATGTAAAGATCTTGGGCGTAATAATGGACTCCAGACTCAAATACCGGCAGCACATCGCATATGCGGCCTCGAAGGGGCTGGAGGCAGCGATGGAATTGAAGAGACTCAGCGGCCTGTCAGCTGCCACGGCGCGTCAACTATTCACGGCGACCGTGGTGCCAACGGTAGACTATGCGTCGAGTGTCTGGATGCACGCCTGCAAGGATCAACTTCTAGGGTCGGTCAATCGGGTCCAAAGGGCCGGAGCCCAAGCAATTGTCGGGACCTTTCTCCGAGTAGCCGTTAATGTAGCAGAGGCAGAAGCCAACATTATAAGCGTCCAGGAACGGCACTGGCGACGAGCGACTAAGCTATGGATTAATATTCACACCCTTCCGGATACAAATCCATTGCGGCGTGTCACATCTAGGATCCAGAAATTCTATCCATCGCGAAGATCGCCCTTCCACCACCAAGTGGCATGCCGGCTGAAGGACATTCCGGTGGATGAGATAGAGAACATCATGCCATTCCCGTTGGCGCCCTGGATCAAGCGAGTGCAAACCATCTCGGACGTAACGCAAACATCGACCACCCCGGGATGGAGTGTGACAGTGGCAGTAAGCAGTTCAGCGAGGAATGATATAGTCGGAGTCGGTGGAGTATTACAATTACCCATCTCGGCACGAGGAAAATCGAAGCGTGAGGTTTTTTCTTTTACACCCGGCCCTAGGGCGGAGCAGAATCTGTATTCAGGACAGCTGGTAGCCATGGCATATGCACTGCGATCCCTACCGACGATCGCAGATCGTAATGTGGCTGTGGTAACCAGCAACAAAGCGGTCGTGATGAGCCTCGGTAACCCACGGCAGCAATCAGGCCAGATATATATGCGGTTGATCTACGAGGCTATAGAAAAGCTACGTGAAAGAGGGAACAGAGTGGCAATCGAATGGGTCCCCGTATGCGATGAGAATGAATTGGTGATGGTAGCCAAGACTGAGGCACGCAAGGCGACCAAGGACGGAGCCACGCCACAACGACAACTCCCTAGAATGCGGTCTACAACGCTGAATATTCAAAAAACAAAAGTTGGAAGCGGAACGATGTATACCGGAGAAAGTCGGCAAACATGCCAAGAGGATAGACGCGGCATTACCTGGAAATCACACTCGGCTGCTTTACGACGAACTTCCATGGAAAGAACGTAGCGTTCTGGCCCAGCTGAGAACAGATATGTCTACATTAAACAATTATCTATATCAAATCAAGAGATTGGCATCAGATCCATGCAGCTGCGGCAGAGAACGAGAGACAGTGGCACACTTTCTTTTCAGATGTAGCAAATGGACCGAGCACAGAGAAGTAATGACTCGGTGTACGGATACACTACGAGGAAACCTCTCGTTCTACTTGGGAGGAAAATCGCCGTCAGACGGGACCAAGTGGGAGCCAAATATGAGCGCTGTACGAGCAACAATACGGTTTGTAATGGCCACAGGCCGTCTTGATAATTAACTCCCATCACCTTCAACCCACACCTTTTATTTCACCTCATGCCATTTTAAGCTGGCGTTGCTTCAGCTGCCGTAGATAGGACGTTGAACACTTGGAGAAATAACTCCAAGCTAGCCTGCGGATAATTAATACCTAACGCGTGAGAAACCGTAGAGAGACAGGACATCAACAAGGAAGAGCCAGAATTAGATTGTGCCAATATATGGGCTACGATGAGGAAAAGTCATAACTTGAGGGCCATTTATGTAACACAGATTGATAGTTGCCCTATTGGAGGAGACTCCACCGGGCGTAATAAATTGTGTGTGTGTATTAGTCACAAAAGTCAATTTATAGTAGTAGCTATGATACTATGCTTTACTTAAAGCTTGGAAGGCTTCGTCTGCCTCGGAGTAAGCTGTCTCTTTTGCTGCCCGTGCTTTAACGATTTCGACTCTTGCGTTTTCGGCCCCTGGAGAGTTTCTTGGAGTCGTTTAACCCTCATTTACAACGGCTGAGCTTCCAAGAGCAGCTTGTATAGCTCTTACGTGATTTTTCTTCAATTTTCCAGAAGCACTCTTATCTTGTTTTCTTGCTTTTTGTATACGGATAGACTACCTTCTTGAGACCTGCAAATGCCTACTACTGTTCAACACATATAAATCAGCAATAGGTTACGGCCACATGTCCACAATATGCTCAGGTCAGTCAACACGCTTCGCCCTACCATTTTGCGATCATGGAAGCGCATGGAAATGCATGGAATCTCAGCAGGTCTGAGTGTACAAAGTGTTGTCGGTGCTGGGTGCTTGGTGCAGTACCGGGTTTATTGATGGTGTGGATATCAATCCTGCAACAGAAGGTAGGCTGCAAGACTGTGACGAACCATACACTAGATAGTTAGTAATACGAGGGCTTCCCAAGGGACAAACCTAGAGTTCAGTTCTGGTTTTATGTTGGCGGAGCGATCAGGAGATCTTCGGGCAATGTAAACAGTAATAGTAAATGTCACCAGAGTGTAAGCAGTGCAGAGCGTGTTGCAATCTTGATTCTGTGTTAACAACTGACTATCTAAGTTATCTAAATGAGCGTAGAGAAGTGAACTTATATATCCAGTTGCCTGGATTGGATCATTTGTAGAATCTAATGATCCGTCGTGGATCATTACATAATTTTGATGATCTATGTCTGGCTCATTGGATCATTGAAATGATCTGATGATCCATTCGTGATTGGTAGGTCGGTCCTATATTAATCCGGCTCTGCCTACCCGGTAGGCCTGTTGGTGCGACCATAAGAGATGGGTCGTGACAAAGACCTCGTTGAACTACGTTGTCAGCCTTTTGTTACGACTCTAAGAGCTGGGTGTATGTATATGATATCTACATAGAAAAAGAAAATACATTAATACTCATTTGTACTGTACTTTGCTAAATGTAAATATATAACTAAACCTAGATAAACTAATTACCACGTCATTCTAATTTTTTTTAAAGAATATCAAACCAAGAAGAGTTCAGAGACTGTTGTCCCTTTCTATCTATCAGCTATTGTGCGGATGTAAGCTACGGTTTTGTAACATTGGGGTCAGACATCTTCCCACTTTTCTCTGGCCCGGGCTTCAAGCTTGTCCAATCTCTCCAAGATCTTTCCGTTCATTTCTGCGTGGTCGCCCAGAACGGTTGTGATTTTCTCAAGTGCCGCAAGTGTCTTTTGTAACATCTGCATAGTAACTTCTAATCTTGTAATTCTTTCATTAATGATGGCTAGTTCATTGGTTGTCGAACTTTGGGCTGTGAGATCTTCACCAGAGGGTATTTTACCCTTCGTTTTGTCTCTAAGGGCTCTTCGCTGGGTCCTGCTATCCTGAATCCAAGATGCTCTGTCTACCGCAGCAAACCGCTCTTCTGATCTTTTATGTTCTGTTTGTTTGTTTGTTTTATTATCAACGTCCACTAAGTAAGCTAGTTACATAAATCCCTTCTGGGCAATAGGACGGTAGGAGCCGCTGGTCCAGAGCCTGCGTTCGCTACTTGTCATACGAAACAAAGGAAAGTTGTTGTGTCAATTTGTGTCTTGGGGGGCAGGGTCATAAGGGCTCGTGTCCTCTACTAGTGTCTGAAAGTGTTTGTATCTATCGGGGCCTAGTAGATAGGTGAGAGGGATGATGCCCATCCGGAGGTCATTTTCAGGGACTTCCGGTAGGAAGGGTCGTACCATTCTGCATTCCACAAAATGGCCTTGTGTTCTTAGCTCGCCGCATTTGCAGGTGGGCCTGGTGTCATGTCCAAAACGTTCGTGGTACTCTACGAAATCCCCATGTCCCGTTCTCTCCGCGTACAGTCTGTGGAGTATAGCCCTTGGGAGCTGTAGTTCTGGAGGTTTGGGGAGAGCGTCTAGTCGCCAGCGTCTGTAGTACGGCGGTCTATTCTAGTCCCAGTCTAGCTCCCGGAGCCGTCTCTTCTCGCTTCTGGCCCACCTCTTAATTTGGGTTATTGTTACGGTCCTGGATGGTGGTGTCGGAAGTTCTAACCCTTCCTTTGCGATTTTGTCTGCCGTCTCATTGCCGTGTATGTCTTTGTGCCCCGGGACCCATGCTACCTTAGTCCGGACTTCTGGTTAAAGGTCTCTTGCGATTTTTCTGAGGCCCATGTAGGCTCCCTGTGAAGAGGATGGTGTGAGGCCGAGAATGCCGTCTACAACCGCTGAGTTGTCTAGGAAGAGGATGATCTCCTTAATGCCCGGGTCAGCTCGGATCCGTTCTTTGGCGAGTTTAATCGCCTCGAAGGCTTTGACTGCTTCCGCGTCGTATACTTCTGCGTTCGGGAGGCACCCGTTGGATTTGGTGGCCCGGGCCTTGTGGAATGTGACTGCTCCCCAGCCTGTGTTGCCCAGTTCGTCTTGTGAGCCATTTGAGTACGCAGCAAGGGTGGAGTTTGGAAGGCCGTCCAGTAGGTGTTTTTTGGCCGCATCTTCCTTCTTGGTCCCTCTGAAGTCTGGGCCTGGGAGGACAGCGCCGTTATTGTGGGCGAAGAGGGAAGGTCTGACCGTGCGACGGGCCAGTGCGGTCGTTCGTTGTAGTCTGGTCAGGGGGGCGCCTGCGGCTCTCCTATCCGCTCTCCTGCTGATTGGGTGGTTTCTGTCCAGGCATGCGAACCTGGCTCGATTCGAATCCTCGCTTGGGCTAGAGCCAGGGAAGCCTTTGGGACGCCTGACTCTCTGTGTATGACCTCCATGTTGGTGGTCTTCCATACTGGAACCACGGCCCTAGCCGCAGTTTTGAAGGCTTTGTCAATTTTGTCCACTAAATTGTCTATGCCGCTGTCGGTGGTTTTGGAGGGGTTGGTGTAACATTGTTTTGTTGAGGGACCTCAGGAAGTTGGCTGCCTTGAGGGCCTTCCCTGTCATGACTTCGACGTGTTTTTTGAAGGAGAGTCTGGGGTCTAAATGGACTCTAAGCCATCTCATCGATTCTTGAGGAGGGATCGCCCTGCCTTCGAAGTTGCCTTGGTCCGAGTGGGTGTTCTTCCGGGTGTGGTGGAAGTGGACCAGCTCAGGCTTGTCTGGGTCGAAAGATACTACTGCTTTCTGTCGGCCCCAGCCTAGGGTGTCCTCCAGTTCCCACTGTAGCATCCTGGTGGTCTTTGGTATTTTTTCCGATGGCTAAGATGCCTACGTCGTTCGCATAGCCGAACCTGGTGTTGGGGTCGTTGAGACAGAGGATGGGGCAGAAGTAAAACATGGAGATGATCGGGGAAATGGGGGACCCTTGTGGGGCCCCGCATTCTAGGCTTGTTCCCTGAAGCTTGGAACCGTATCCGTAGCGGACGAAGACTTCGCGGTCACTCATGAAGGAATCTACCCAGAGGATGAATAGCAGGAGCCATCCTTGTCTTCTGAGTCTCCAGATCAACCTGTTGCGCATGACGATGTCGAAGGCTCCGGCTATGTCGAGAGTGAGCAGGGAGGCAACTAGTCCTTTGGCTAGGGCCCCCTCGATGTCGTGCACCAAGCAGGCGACTAGGTCCGATGCCGCCCGTTTGGGAGCGCGCCAAAGTATCGTTCCGGCAGCTTTTTGTGTTCTAGGGCTAGTAGGGAGACCCTTCTTGCGAGAAGTCTCTCTAGTCCCTTTCAGATGCAGGATAGAAGTGAGATCGATCTATATCCCTTGTGGGTGGTGTATGTCTTTTCCGGCTTGCCGGGCTTGGGGATGATGGTCACTTCGGCGCTTCTGAACGGGCGTGGATGGTGTCCGACTTTGAGGCACCCTCTGAAAAAATCCGTGATGTAGCCTCCCACTGCTGGCTAGGCTAGTTGGAGAAGTGCAACCGAGATCCCGTCGGCCCCGGGGGCAGTGTGGCCGGACCCTGTGGTAGCCTTCCTGACTTCCTCTGTGACCTCTGTGTTCCATTTCATCTTTTCGTCTGGGGGAAGTCCCCGTCCCGGGGGTCGGGGATATCCTCCTCTCTGGTCTTTCTCTTGAGTAGTATGTCCCTAAGGAAGGTTGCCCTTTCTACGGCGTCGGAGATGCTCTTGGTCCCGTCGATCAGTGGTGGGGGTTGGAAACGGTCGGTGGCTTTCCGCCACTTGGCCAGGGTCCAGATGTTCTTGTCCGCACTAGCTTCTGCAATGATCTTGTCCCAGTGGGCTCTCTTGCTCCTCCGGACGATGTGTTTTTAGTTGTTTCTTGGCGGCCGCATTTTCTTGGGAGCCATTGGTAGCCTTCTCCAGGCCTTGCATTCTTTGGTCCACCATGGGGCGCTGGGGCCATTCTGATGTCTTGTCCTGCCGGTGGCATCCAGTACGTCTCTGAAGAGGTCCTGTAGGGCCTTGGTGCAGCCGTCCAAATCTTCTTTTGATGGTTTTTCGAGGTTGATTGTGGGGAAGGTCCACCGCAAATGAGTGCATTAGTTGTCCGAAGTCTTCATATTGTTCAAAAGGAAGGCATTTCTTTCCGGCCCCGGAGGTGGAGCGAATGGGATTAGGTAGTGTAGTAATGACTGTGTAGTGGTCCGACCCCGTGTCTAAGGAGCGTTCTACTCTGGAGGAGGTTGAGCAGTTTGTGAAGACGAGTTCGATGCACTTCCTTGAGGCCTTCGTGGGGAAGTCCACCAGTGAGGGGAGGAGATCATGCTCGTCGGCCCAATCCGCTATCTTGTTGCCCGCTGTGTCCGGCTTCCTGCCCGGTTGCCATGTCCAGTGGGTGGCGTTGAAGTCGCCTGCTATTATGGAACGGGGGGGAGCCCCATTTGATCAGGGTTTCTGTGGCGATGTCCTCCGAGGCTCTCCGGTATATGTTAACGATTGTGTGGCCGCAGACCTCGACCCAGCATACGCACCCATTCTCCAAGCCTGGAGGGGAGAGTTGTTTGCTGGGGAGGTTGGATGAGATTCTAACGAATATAACAACTGAGGGTCTGGCGTCCCTCCAGTCATTCAAGGTTTGTATGTTTGGAACCCACCATGGTTCTTGGTCTGCCTCCTGTTCAAAGTCCTGTCCCATTTAGCGTATGGTTCCTGGATAAGCACTATGTCGTAGCCACCTTCCCATGCCAGTGAGAGAGCGACGTCTTGGTAGGGGCCGCTCTTCCCGACATTGGCTTGGAAGATTTGAGGGCAGTGTTTCTTCGGCGGCTGCGACGGGGCCTATTATTCATAGGTACGTCTCAGGGGGTACTCGGGAGGCTCATTCTTCCGGTATTGCCGAATGCAGTACTGCTAGAGTTAGTAGACGATGCGATGCCTTTGTTCGAGGCGTTGGTTCTCACTCAGCAGTGGATCAATCAGATCAAGGAAAAGCTAGCAATTGCGTTCTACGATAACAATCAGATTGGTTATTCATCGTAATCTTGTTAGCTACGTAACTACAACGCTCAAAAGACCCATCGCATCTCTCTGCCAACATAAACCGACTCTTGGTTTATAGATTGGGAACCTACCCTTTACCTATTATTCGGATAGTATAGACCTGGACGTCACACTCAGGCTCAAGTTCAAGCTCAATTTTTCTGCCACTATTTCGCTTATACAGCTCCAGTGGCTTGGTTTTTCTTCTTTTTCCACTGTTCATAATCTGGTGCCATGAATATTTTACCCTCTATGATCTTGCTTATCGTAAGAATAGCAACCATGATCCACAGCAGCGTTACTATGACCGCAACAATCTGTTATTCATGAGTATTTGCTTCTTAATACATTCCTAGGTAATAACCCAATAACTGGTATAAATGTAAGGGGCGTTAAGAGAAAAATTTGCAACTTACAGTTCCTAAAACATCAAAGGATCTAGATGGCATTTCTTGGCCAATTGCTATCGTTGCACCGGCCCAGACACCAAGAGGAAACGTGGATCCCCACCAGCCAATGTTGAACACTAATTTGCGACGACTCAGGCTGGCTAAAGCGAAGAAAATCCACGCCAGACCATTTGCCCACATAATGAAGCCAAGTATCCAACCTGTAACATATAAAATCTCTCCAGAATTGGCTCCCATTTTCCCGAGGACGCCGATTTTGGGGAAGACTTCAGCTGTTACTTTGCCGAGCTGCATGATCGCATATCCACCTTGGCCAAGGGGCGCAACCGGCAAAACATGGTTACTATAGCTTCCGGAGGCGGTAAGTTGTGCATTGACAGACGTTGATACAAATAACCAAGCAAGTTAGAGAGAGGGGCATGGCGGTTCCCCATAGGAAGTATGAAGCCATAAGAGTCCAGAGAGCATGTCGCTCATTCTCTATGACTTCAGCGACAACTCCGCCAATAGTGGACGCTACGATTGCAGAAGCTATTGGAAGAAGCCAGGTTGCAGAAAGAGTTTCTAATTTCATATCGTGAACGTGCATACTGGAAATTATACTTAGTCAGATTAATTGGAGCAATAGGCCGATGGCCATCACTTACATGACAAATGGTATCCAGTAGCATATTATAATCGATATCGCAGCATCAATCCACCAAAGTGTCCATGCCTGGAGCAAAAAAGTAAGCTTGCTTTCAAGTCTCATGAAGTCTCGTCTCAACCCACCAAGGTAAGTGCCCAGCTGCCCCACGCGGGCACACAGACCAAAACAATCATCTCAACAATTGTAGCGAGACCAATCGGAAATGCTCCCAATAAGAGCGATACGCCAGGATGTCTTATCATAGTCATAAATAGACCTGGATTTATGAGGTACCGAAGTGCAGATATGAATGTGAAAAGAATGAAAAGAAAGAGGTTCAGACAAAAAAGATAACCGAGACCCAATACAACCAAGTTCCATTGTAAGGGAGGTTGTGAAGGAGGATAGAAACAATGCCGGTGCCCATATTGACGGTGAACCACCTTGAAAAGAATCGTTAGAACTTTCACACATTATATATAATAGAGGCGTGATTGAAGGTACTCTAAGCAACAGACAACATGAAACGAGAGAATCTGAGATGCCCACTTACGCTGGAACGAAAGCATGGACAACAGTCCAAATATCAATCTTGCGCTTTTGAGGAGGGACAGGGTTGTCATCTGGCTTCACCATATCGGCGTGCGGAACATTGGCCGCGGAATGTATTGTAAGGTTGCCGTTCGAAGATGACAGTGTTGTCGAAGACGTAGCCATGGTTCTAGTTTCAAGCCTTGGGCCAGCTAGGGCACTACTTCTATGAATAGAAGAAGATACGTGTGTCAGAGAGCATCCATTGCGCAACCTCTTCCAACGAGAATAGACGTTCGCTCGGATGTTGGTGTCAGGTTCGAAATGCCGAGAAAAGGCTATAGATAGTGGTTAACAAATTCATATCAATCCAGGTGTCAGCAACCATATATGTAGCATTAAATACCGCCTGAGGGCCGCAGCATGTTCCTGATTAAGGGGGACATCGGCCTGGATCAGACTTAGGACAATTCTCTTGATATCTGCCAGATTAGCAAGGAATCCACCCCATCAACAATGAGTTTACGCGCCACAGTAGACTGAAGAATTCCTATCATCGTATAAACTCCTCAGCGGCCATGCCCGAGAGCCAATGAGAAGCGCGTTTAGATCACTAGAACAAACGCCGAGTAGGATCAATCCCCGGCCCGCACCTACTAAGTGCTAAGTAGAAATAAGCTCCGCAAGCAGGATCTCCGGCGCTTCCAACATAGGGTTATTACCTTCATATTCCCGCAAGCTTTCTGCGACAGCCTCCTTTTGCCACCTTTATTAGTCAGTCACTCTGTAGCCAAAAAAGTCAGATCCCGCGGCGTTTGGATGTCGGACAAGAGCGAACACCATGGATAAATTCCGGCCGCACTTCTCGGCCTGGTTGTATCCACTACATAATTACATTTCCGGTTGGCGTGCACGTTTACAATAATTTGTGAAAGTGAAAAGTGCTTCGCATTCTCCTCATTAATTAACCCAATTACCACACATCATGTCTCAGACAAAGGTTACAGGGAGAAAGTTTCCGATGCCGCCGGCAAAAGTCGCATGTCTGCCTTGGTACATATCTTTTCTGCTTTCCTTAAATATTTACTTCTAACAGAATATAGCCGGTCAGCGAGAACGCGCTGCGACGGCGAACAACCATGCTATGGCGTAAGTAACAGGAAGAAGAGCATGACAATTGCACAGATTAGGATTTGATTATTTTATTGCAGTGTAAGATAAGGGATCGGGTTTGCTCCTACATGCCCAGCAATAGGGGCGGTTCACGAAGAAAGCGCGTCCAGAAAGGACACGTAGCCGAGGATGAACTATCAAGGTCACCTCCAACTCAACGTCTGTCATCTCCGCCAGATTAGTGTTACAAAAAGGATTGCTGATCCATCTTAGAAGTTCTTGCTCTTGAAAGTATTGAACACCTTGCCATTCCTGGGGCCGGCCTAAAGCAACCGGAAACAATTGAAGAACAGGGACAATCATATAAGAAAGACGAAACCCTTTCAATAACCAGTCTAGCCGGCGGTCATGGAGCTAGAGTATATGAAAATGAACAGGAGATGTAAGTGTGGCTGTTATCATATTCAAAACTTCATTGTCTCTCTTGAACCGGGCTAATGTATAAGAAAAGACTAAACGCTTATTACATCTTTATTCATCCTTATTTCCCATTACTCCCTCCGCCGAGACGTCGCTCAACACCCGATTGTCCTATTCCTTGGCCGCTGGCGGATACAAAGAAGGCTATTCCGAATTTATCAAAATCACCTCTTAGCCTCGCCCTTTCTGCCATACTTGCTCTTATTCCCTTACCACAAGAGGCGCGCTGTGCCTCAGCGGCATGTATTTCTTTTCGAAAATCTCTAGCCCAAAGATTTGCACAAGCGGCACTGCAGCGGGTCGACGCTGATTCGGAATTACTTGATTTCATTTCAGGTCGTCATGTGAGCTCAGCAGCCGTCGCTGGGCAGTTCTCAATACCTCGAGACCCTCTTCATCCTCAAGCACCGGTAGAGCTGGAAAGTATCTTAGCACTACTTCTCTTGAGCAACTATGAGCACACTGAACGTGGCAATTTGCTGAAAATGACAGCCCGTGCAAGTCAAGCTTTGATAATAGCAAAGAATATGTCTCTCCATCGATTGGGACTCGAAAATGACAATTTTTCTGAAGCAAAGAGAAGGGCTTGGTGGATGACCTACTTTTGCGCGCATCTGTGTTCCGTGGTTCGACAGAGCGTGAGTTGATACACACAACGTCAGCCTTGCAGGTTGTAGACACAGCCTAATCGAGATTTGTTCCCATTAGGCATGTTTAAATATCGATGACGACAGCCAATTTACAACACCATATCCACGATTAGAATGCGATCCAGAAGTTAGTTACTACTCAGTGTATTAGTGTGTACATCAGGCTCTGACACCTCCAGGCATGGTTAATCTTCCTCGATGCTCTGCGAATCGGAGTAGCAAGTGTCAAGTTTACGTCCAGCTATAACGAACAGCTAAATTCACACGCGGACATGTCCGCTATCAATGAACAGATGAAATTGCTCGACAGATGGGTTCTACAAGTCTCTAATCGCGCAGAGAGCTATGTACCTGTTTCAGGCTCCGTGGAACTTGATCCTGCATACGAGTCTGCTACTGCGCAGGTAATGCGACGACTTTCACGAATTAGATTATCTAGGTCTGTTATAACTCCAATCCATGCTATAGCAGGATTCAGACTAATTTCTTCTCACATATGACAGCACGAGAATTCGCCTCCATCGATTTCAAGCCTTTTCGGATATCCCCCTCTTCAGCGAAAATCACTGTGATCTCAAGAAAGCAAATAGCTTCAATACGCCCGTCAACATCTCGATTGAGACGAATATTGCTCCATACGACATGCTCCAATCGTCTGCTTTTACTTACGATCAGTCGACCGATATTTGCGTGTCATCCGCGTTGACAATCGCAAGACAGTTACAAAGACTACCCTTCCCTAGCACATCCATCGGGATAAACAGTCCTCGTGCAATGCCTACATGCACATGTTGTGCTATGCAAGCTAGTTACGTCTTACTCATGCAATTCTATAAACTTCACGCCGCCCATGCTCAGCCGATATTGGGAGACCTGTCCGAAGATATAGAGCGCACTGTTGACGAACTTCGGCATGGTTTAGAAGATATCATGTCCGCAATGAACAATTTTGCAACTGCATTTGAAGCAATTGCGGGAATGCGAGGTGAGTTCAATCATCTACCACGGGCCTTGTACGGACATTGTGACATTGTACTATGCACTTATCGCTAACGATGCTGCTGAATCACATTAGACGAAATCGGGATTGCCTTTTGCATTGCTTTTCCGTATATCTCAGCTGTTCCGAGTAATGCAGGATAGTCTTGGCACTTTCAACAACAAAAAGCGGCAAGAAGTATCAAGAGGAAAAGAGAAATAAACCCTCAAACCCCTGTAGCACTCCTGGAGCTGTAGTAGAAACATCAGTTACTCGGGCCGAGGGGATTACCAGACTTGGTTTGAAGCTTAGCTATTGTTGATGGCTTTTATCGATCTAAGGTTGAAACGACATCTCTGGCATGGCTTGCGATATGGGATGAGAGGGCTGTACCACGAGCGAAACCTGGGGTTTCTTGTCACCCTGCCTTACTACCCACATCAGCCTCGCAATCGATGACAAATGGTACTATCATTCGCAGAAGAGAGAGAGTAAGCGTGGAGTGCTCTGTTGTATACGGTAGATAACAGGAAGAAGCGTGGGCACATCAGGAGTTCTGTAATAGTATATAGTATTGCTTTGATTAGTGCCAGGCATCGGCAGTTTTAGCTTAGAATGTACGCTTGCGACCTTGATGTGGCCGATCTTCGCTCTTCCCTGTTCGAGGAGCTAGAACAAAGCAAAAAGAACAACTATATTTGTTTCACGTAGGTGGAGAGGGTAAAGCGCATGAGCAACCGAGACTCCGTGGTATCTGCAGCGCAGAATGATGAGCAAAAGCTCAAGGCCTGGGCTGTGAAAAAGGGGGGAGTTGCGGTGTCGAAATGCGGAGTACCGCAGATAGTAGAGGCCGGAAATACCCTCCGTGCCCATATCCGCGGCCTTCAGGGGGCACGGGCTTGATTTACTCAACTATTAATTCACAATAAGCGTTAGTGTCCTACGAAGCAACTTCATATAATTGATGGCTCTGCTGCACCGAAGAAGCGGCGTTGTGTTAGTCTGTGAATCACCAGACTTACGGTTTTGAGTTCTTACGTCTCCGCGTAGGTGTCGATGAAATTGCATTTCTTTCTTTCTTTCTTTTCCGCTTCAAATAGAGCCATACCAGAGGTCTTGAAATCGTATTCTGCAGCCTGCACCGCCATGTGAAACTGATTACGTCTCCTTCTGCCAAGCCACATCGGCAGATGGCACCAAAGATGCAAGGTGAAAACGACAAACACCCACATGACATAACGGGCCAAAACAGGAATTCATATACTAAAATGGAAGCTGTTCCATGCCTAGAGCTGCATTATCGCGACCCCTGTAACTCAGCCTCTCGGATATGCTCCATATATCAATCCCTAGCATAGCCGCAATTCGACGAGCTGTGATTTGCCATATTACGAGGAGGCATGGGGATGCAAAGGGCCGAGTAATATTCTGAAGCTTTCATTCTAAATACGTACTCAAGTGGAAATGAAGTTTAACGAGAGAAAGGTAAAGCAGTATTACGACGCATCTTGCAATCTAAACCGGAATAAATACCTATTGGAGGAAAAAAACATGAGAGCAGTTGGTTCTGTTACCCGTCTTATAGGCTCCATAACGACAAATCAGACTCTATATACGTTGAATGCCCAAAATTGATAGATTTTCGCTCTGGTCCCCCCCTTCCCCCCCC